AAAGGTTGCTATCCGATAGCACGGATCGCTCAGGTATGTCTTCGACTCGCTAAGGGCGTGTATTATGGTCACTCAAAGTTCGTGCTCTGGCAGCTCCTGCCCGGGCCACAAACCTACACGAGAATCAGCGTCAACACAGTGAGCTTGTCATCGTCGTTCTCGGTAGCTCAACACATCATGGAAACCATAAGCCTTCAGGGCCAGCCGCCGGAGCAACGTCGGGTGGAGGTGTACAAGAGCTTGACACGTCCCGACGTGGAGAGGTAAAGGCACGTTCAAGGTTCCCCTGAAACTCGTCTCTTGCCAGCCCGATGACCATGCTTTTATCCAGCGTCATTGCCGGAGGCAGACAGAGAACGAGCCCAGAACGCTCGGAACGGAAAGGCAGATCGATAGGTGAAGATAGTGAGAAGCGTGACTATCAGATCAAGCATAGTTATCTCACTTAAGACTCGAGTCCGTGTCCTTAATGTACTGACGTCCAAATGGATGGACCACGAACTGGTGGTATATTCTCAGGGCTAGCATGTGGCGAGCGGCACTTTACCCGAGCCACAAAGCGAGTACGCGCGTATCGATCACAACGCGGTTTTTTGGTTTCCACACCAAAGGAACCATGAACGAACTATAGCACGGGAGGTAGCCTCTTATCAAATAGGACCATGCTACTGACCGGTTCCCCACCTCGTTATCCACGCCACGGGGCGGCCCAATTTCCGACTCACTTATCCTAATTAGTTTCGAAAGCAATCTCACATCTCGGCGCGAAGGACGGACTAAAGAACGTGATCACAGCGACATCATCGAATACATCACAAGGAGCATTTCTCTGAACAAGTGTGAAGATAGCGTAGGGACGATCGAAGGCCGAGTCATTTCCAGAGGTAAACGACCAAGACGTCCATATAAAAACGGGAACAAGGGAAAGATGATACTCAAATCATTGTGAACGACTAGGGAAACGTGGAATCTCCAATAATCAGGATTCGGTCGAGACACTCGAAGAACGATCTGACAACTGATTCAGGGGAATTAGATATTAATCTCGTCTGCTATCAGGCTCAGAAACGAAAGTGTCCAAAGATGGACTCGTAGTAGATTGAAAAGATGAACATTCGGCACATCGACTGAACAATTTCAGTGCTCTATTATGCCATGTACAAGCAATGCTAAAATTGACCATGCAGTCAGAATCGTTGAACCAATTGAGCAAAGCAAAGCAGAACATACCAAGACACAAACTATTTCTCCTTCTTCACCACCGAACCGGCCGCTGCAATCTTACACTTGAATCTGTCCTTCATCGTTTCAACCAAGACCAACCCCTTCTTCACATCTCTCCATTTTGCTGCCCACTCCTCCGGAACCGTTGGTTTCCTGGGTGTCCCAACCCAGTTGGTTTCGAACGAGATCTTGCAACCCGGTGGAAGGAAGAGACTTAGGAACATGGTCACAACAACATCGCTCAACGCATCACATGGAACATTTCCTGGAGAGAAGGTATGGAGATGGCGGAGAGGCTGGTCGGATGTTCTGTACACATCGAAGCCGACGTCAATCGTGGGGGTAAGTCGAAGGGCCAAGACCTCCAGGTTGGGACAAAAGCGGGAGAGAGGGATGATACCGGTCAGGTCGGGGCATTTGAGCGCTATGTTGTTCGGGAGACTGCGCTGTGGATCGTCGCACAGACGTAGGTGAGTGAGTCTCGGCCAAGCAATTGCCAGTTTGTTTAGGTCGTCTTGCTCGATAGCAAGGGGATAGCTGTGAGTCAACGAAAACGTCGACATAATGGAACAGCGCAGGGCAGGTTCGATGTGCTGGAAGTGGATGACGTCGACGATGGAGAGCTCTGAGGGATTCGATAACTGATCCGGAGGGAAATTTTGATCTATCTCGATAGCAAGCTTTCGGAGAGTTATTTCGAATCGGGATGCCACGATTTCGAGGAGGTCCTTGATCGCAGCAGGGGTCTCTCCTTCGTGGGAAGTCGATGTGACTTGTAGATCGGAAAGGTGAGGCACGCTCGCTGATTCACGGAGGAAGTGAGCCAAGGTTGAGTAGGGTGTATGAATTGAGAGTCGTTGGAGATCGCGATATCCCTCTACTGAGATCGTTGGAGGCATTTGAGCGACCCCAGTCTGTGCATCGAAGCGACCGAACTCGATCGCCCGCAGGTCAGGACACGTTGACAACTGCTGCATAACCTCTGCAATGTTCAAGAAAGAGGGGAGAACAAGTTTCGATAGTACTGAGAGGGACTTCGCGAGCGTCATCAAAGGACTCTTCAAGATCTCGTGTCGGCTGTGATTGGTTCGGATCTCTACCGTCTCCAATAATGGCATTCGTTCCGCGACTGCGAGGAAATACTCTGAAAGGGTCTCTTGGGTGATTGAATTCGTGGTGAGGAGGATAAACCGAAAGGTTTTAACGTTCGGGTGCATAAAAATCACGCTTTGGTGACTATATCCCCTCAAATTTACGTCTCGCCATAGAATGGTAGTGAGGTTGGGGAATATTGGTTTTGAGAACTGAAGACGGGCTATAGTGTCGAATAGAGGGCTCATTCGTTCTTGCTGGGCGGCGTCAAGAGTAGAGCAGTCCAGTGTGCGGACCAGTGGTGCATATAATGATTGGAAACGGCACCATTTCTCGGCAGTTGGTGCTGCGAAGTACTGGTTCGAAATTATGGTTTATCAGATAACAGGCCGTGAAGAAACTCTTTTATAAAACGCACTCGTTGGTTACTGAACAAGTTTTCAGCTCCCAGCAGCAAAAATACGACATTGATGTCCGTGATCTCCTTCCATAAAAAAGCCAGCGCGTCTTGAGACCACGATTTACAAACGATGGCATTGTTTGCATTCGATTTTCGGCCGCACCATTGTAGTATTAGGCGAACGAGTTCGTCGACTTGGAATAGTCGATGCATGAAGGATTGGGTATCGATATTAGAAAGCGAAGAACGAAGTGATAGGAGAGAGCAAGAAGAGTCTTCTTCTGACGCGTGCGTTACGCGAGGCAAACACGAGCAAACAGATACGGTAATCACGGCCCGAATATCAGCTCAACGCGCGTAGAATAGGAAGGAACTGTCTTGTAACTCGTAATTAGGGGGAAGGTCAACATAATAGCTAGGGGGCCTAGTCCCAGAGGAACCTTCCGAGTTCAAGATCTGAACACGAATACGACGAGGTGTACCACTCGAAGCTGAGGATTGTGAAGGTCTGGGAAGCCCGGGGAGCTCCTGCTCCAAGAAACTAGTGTTATCTTCCTTCTCACGCACGAAGTTGAGAGCAGGGAGAGTAGGAATGACAATTCCAGGACCCGGTTTGGCTTCGAATGGATCCTCGGAGTCGTAGAGAGAGGCTCGCTCGAGGCGGTAAGGCATCGCGGCTCGGGCCGCCAATCGCTTATTCCTTTGACGCTGTCGATACCAGCAGAGGGATAGTACAGCCAGAACGAGGAGGAGGAGCGCCCCGAAGATTGCAGCGACAATAACCCATTTTTGGCCCCCACTTGTTCGCGTTGATGATATTGGCGAGGGTGGGGAGGGTCGTGTGGTTGGTTGGAGGGGAGGCTCGGTCCTAAGGAATAAGCATAAGATTGAGAATGGGAGAGTAAATTGAGACGCGTACGAGTGAACGCCACTCTGGGTTTGAATTGAGCTGGCTATGCTAGGAGTGCCCGAAATTACGGTAATCATGTTTCCACCTCCTGATACCGCCCCGTTGACTGGAGTTTGGGTTACCTCGCTCGAGCTGTCGCCGTTTAACGCAATATTCGTACTCTCGGAGACGTCTGCCGATGAACTCGAGCTTGCGAAAGAGAACGACGCAACTACGACATCCGTACCGATCGTGGATGGCAAAAGGACGTTGTTGACGACAGAGCCGGGTCCTGATGTCGTGGTAACACTCACGGGCGGGCTGAAGAACGCACTATCCATTAGAATGACGTTATCGTCTTGTCATCATGAGCAGGGCTTTACCTCGACCCAGTAGGTATTCCGCTTCTTTGTGCGCTTGCTTCTATATTATCAGATGAAATCTTTAAGGTTGTAACAGTACCCGGGGATCGTGACGTGGTAGTCGTGTCCAACCTGGTTCCGCAAATCTCAATCATCAATTATAGAACTGTTATGATGATCTTGTAGAGACTTACAAACTCGAGGCGCCAGTGATAGTAATACCTGTTATAATGGGCTTCGAGGTTGTTTCTGTCAGAGCGGAAGATGTTGATGAGGAGGGTATATGGGTATCCCTGCTGGCTATGCTGCTGAAAGAGGCTTCGGTGCTACTGAGGTAGCCATAGAAATCAGCTCCAACTAAACGATTGAGTATTGGGACCCCCCGCCATAACGCACCTCGACGTGCCCGTAACAATCTCAAAAATTCCTGTTGCCGATTCGGGAGTAGACGTGGGGGAAGTGGTCGTGGCTGCAGCTGTCGTAGTCGAAGAAGGAGTCACAGAAGTGTCGGTGACAGATACTGAGGTCGCGGATAATGAGGAAGTAGACCTTGAGGAAGCGATTTTAGATCGATGTTAAGGGAGTAAAGTTTGGCTTACGAGTGATCAGTTGGATAGACAGGGCGAATATGACAGAGGGCGGCTCTTATGCAAGTACAATCAGTCGGTCTCTGGAACAGAGCCAATGGCACTCACATCAAACAAAGGATTGGACGACGCATTGAAAGTAACGCAGCGTCTGGCGTTGAACACTGGCCGGTGTGTTAGAAGAATTGAGGGTAAATCATCAGGAATTATACGAGCCTCCACTTCAAATACAAACGATGGCCTCGAATGGGGCATTCTCGTGAGGTGCAAAAAATCAGTAAATGCGATATTTTATCAACAACAGATCATCATGATTTGTTGCGTCGGTTCGTGGGTAGGACTCTGACTTGTGTTACCAAAATTAGGTGCAATAGAGGGCCCCGAGATGGAGGTCCTTCCCCAGTGTGCGAAGCGCGATATGCATAGAAAAAAGTCTATAACCCGCACTGCCCCAGTGAGGCTCGAACTCACGACCTTCCGATTTGTCTACAGATAAGTAACAGTCGGACGCTGTAACCAACTCAGCCATGGGGCATATAGGGCAATGCAATTCAAGGCCGCAGTACCGCGCCGAGTGATCGACATGCATTTTTTCCTGTCGCCGCCTATACAAGTGCGAAGGTTCTGCTATCAAGTAAATACAGTATCTCATGCAGCATCAACGACGGGAGTGCTTTACGCGAGCTCTGATTCACAGCTCACGTATGGAATCAGTATTCCCATCTTGATCTTTTCGTTGGACAGATATTGATGATATTCTTGTTCCTGATTATGTTTCCCAGTCGAGATAAGAAATTTCAATTCCTCACTCACTGCATTTCTCTCATTGCTTGGCCTACTAGGTCTTTTTAGATGATTGGAAGGAGAATGAAACATCTTCCATGATCAACTGTCGTTACGCAAAGCACGCCCAGTGTTCCTCTCCCTCTGTAGTTCCAGATCAAGTCACTCAGAAAGTCCCGGTCACTTTAACCTGGTTTTGGGAGTTATCCGACGCGAAGAATGCAATGCTCGCAATGATGACTACGGGTGTTGTTGTCACAAAAGGCAAGGAAGGTGGCGGGCCGAGAAACCTAAACCGTTCTGCATGTGAGAAGATGATTAAACGCAAAAAATGACCAGCCGATGAAAAAGGGGTTGCTGGTGGTTTGGAACTCTGCGCCTCTCTCCTGTCCCAGGCTTGCATTGTATATCGCATATTACGGTGGCGATACTCCAACTGTATCCTGCACACCAGATTCAAGAAGAGACCCTGAAGCTGGATCGGAGAGACCTGACTACATGATTTCTACTATGTTTGGAATTGATAGTCAGGATGATCCCACATCAACGGCAGAGCCTGGCTTCACGGAGAACGCTGAACGGTGAACCGATATGTAGATGGAGATTGAGAAGATTTCTTCGAGTTACAGAGTCGAATTATAGGATTGAGTGGTCATTTGATCCCCTCGGAGAATGTTGCACGGACGCTGACGTCGATGGATCCGGAGATAACGAAACTGAGAGAGTGTGTCGTGAGGCTTCAGGTGCGTCTGGGGGAATGGGCGCGGGAGCTGAAGCGCTGCCCGATGAGGTGCCAGTAGAGACGATAGACTAACTGAGTCTATCCGCTTACATATGATGCTGTTTCCAAATAACACATGCCTCAGCTACTCCAGTGAGGCCCAAACTCACGAGATTTGGGTTGATTAACAGAAGTAACAGCCGAACGTGTGACTAACGCAGCCATGGGGCACATAATCCGCTGTTACCATCTAAAACCCAAGCACGAACCAAAATCATTAGCACATATCATTATCCTTTCTCTGTCTATACTTGAGATTGAAGCCAAGCTTCTGACGTGTAGCACGAAAAGCGGGTCTAACCAAGAAGCACCAGCACCCGAACATCATGACTAGACTCAATAGCCACACAAGTCCACATCTTGATCTTCGCGTTAGAGGAATGATGGAGTGGTAGATTCTTGGCTTCATATTACACTGCCCAGTCAAGGCAAAGGATGCTGGGTCTCTTCTCTTCCCCCTCACTCGCTGTTTTTCGTCTGTCCTCAATCTACCAGGCCAAGTTGACGCATATCTAGGATGAGAATCCGTGGTCCTCTCGTCTTGTGAGTGCTCTCATGCTCAATAAAAGGGTAAAAATCATACGGCTAATCTTAACACCAGGCTAATAAACTGTGTTCTCGGAGAGCTTGTCCAGTGTTTCTCCATTGACGGAATTCCTGAGCGAGCCACAAAAAACCAACCAATCCTTTTGACCTGGCACTGGGAGACGACCGACCCAGCGAGGATCATGCTCGCACATACTTTTCTAAACGAAGAAGTTGCAGGGATAATAACTCCGTCTGTGATGGGAAACACCGGGCAGACGCAAGGTGTCTTGACCTTCACCTTCACCTTTCCCGACAGCGGCAAGTAAGTCTGCAGGAGCTTATTGTTGGGACATTGTTTCACACACTCTCCTCAGGACTAAGTACATGGTGGCATACGATCTCGATCGCGTAGAGTACGACTCTCTCGTAAAAGTTGTCCGACCACGACCTTTCGTCTCATGTTCACAAAGTCAATATATGAGTATTAACCTAACCCCAGGGAGTCTTTCTTTCAAGATGAACGTCAAATCATCGTCCTTACCGCGGATCCATCTCTACCACGAGCAATCAGCTCGAGCTCTACCGGTAGTATTACGCCGGGACAAACTCTGCCAACCAGCACGGTCTCGCAATCGTAAGTCGTAGAATATCGAATTTGTTATCCAGCGTTGAAAGGTGTAGTTCAGAAGTATCTCCTCCACGCCAGGCTCAAGAACTTCTGCCATACCGTCGAGTCCTACAGTAACGGTTGGAAGCCCAGACCAAGATTCCAGAAGTGCCCTAGAAGGACCATCGACGTTTAGAACCGGTAACGTGTGCGTTGACCTTCCTCGTGTGATCTTTCATGAGCTGAAAAACTTCCAAGGCCTGTTCAGAGTGACACATTCCCAGAGGCCGGCTCAGAAGGTGGCGAGACCACCAGTGATTCTTCCCAAAGTCAGCCACCCCCTGCTAAAGGGTCAGACATCGCAACCATCATTGGCGCTACCCTTGGATCTCTGGCATCGATTATCCTCATCCTCTTCTTCATATTTTGCTGCCGTCGTCAAGGAAAGCATAGTTTGCTGATTGAGAAGTCCGAGAATTTCCAGGGAGAGAGGATGATCAAACGACGGGAAGAAAACCAACTTCAACAAAAGGACATCGCGCACAGTAAAGACTTTGATCCCGAAGCACCTATGACTACCATGTTCGCCCCACATTCCTCGGGTCACGTTGACGACACTAGCTCAACTTTCTCCGGCGCGTCGGACTCAGAAAGGGCCTCTGAGACTACATTGGAGAGTCATGATTACACGATTCATACCATCTCCGAAAGCCGAAACGAACCCGACGTCACATCGACAATTGAATCCACCTCTACGGAGATCACCCACGAGTACATTACACCTCGAGCGGATAGGCAGATGGAGATTGAGAAGAAGATATTCGAACTACAAGGTCAGATCATAAGATTGAGTGATCGATCGAGGTCCTCGGATATTGGCTTGTCGACGCCCAGCTCGATGAACACGGAGATCATAGACCTAAGAGAGAGGGTTGCAAAGCTTAAGAAGCTTCAAGGGGAGGGGTGGGCAATGGAGTTGACCGAAAAAGTGCCGTTGGAGATGTATGAATAAGGACTCTACAGGACATAAATATCACGTCAAAACTGTTCGAGATGTACCGAGCTACCTTAGTGAGGCCGAAACTCACAGCATTCCGATTGTATGTGTTTGTGGTCGGAAGTAGTCCCTGAATCAGCCATGGGCATATAGAGCTCAAGTAGGCACCCGAATTGTTAGCCTGTATACTTATCCTCCTACCGTCCATACGAATGTCGAGCTTCTACCGCTCTATTTTCGGACAACAACGACGGGTCTACTCTAGGTGATCTCGGACTCTTGGCTTGTGATTACGTGTATACGTGTATCATGCTAGCTGGAATCAGCAGCCGTCATCCACATCTTGATCTTCATGTTGGACGGATGTTGATGGTGCCCCCTCGGTTTCATATTTCATTGCTCAATTGAGATGAAGAATGCTGGTTCTTTCTTCCTTCTCCTCACGACCGCCAGTTTTCACTCATTTGCGACCTTCTGGGTCTTGACGGATATCTATGATGAAACTCCGTCGTCCATTCATTTCGTGAGTTCAACTGGACTTTGACTGAGCTGTCCGCATCCTCTGACTTACTGCGATGGCAATACGATTAGTTATCTGTTCGCGATTATTGCCCGGGGTTTCTCTCTTTCAGGAATTCCGAATCAAGTCACCCAGAATCAAACCGTGACGTTCACTTGGCTTTGGGAAACAACCGATCCGGCCATGTTCATTCTTGCCAAGACTCGTTCAGGAGTATCACTACCCGACGTAATATCGACGACTGTTAATGCAGCGGACGGCAAGCACCAGGGAGTCTTGACCGTAGCGTTCGAGGATGTTGAGTAAGTCCATGAGTTTACTGTTGAATCATTGTGCCACAATGCGCGAAGTCCTCACAGTACTGTGCATATGGTCGGATATGGCCTTGGCGTATGGGGCAGCACAACTAGTAGTAACAGTTTACCACCGTGCGTTGAAGTTTCTCGAAGATGGTATCCTGCTCACTTTGGATTAGCACCCCTTTCTTTGAAGATAAACTTCAGATTACCGTCTTTGCCGCGGGTGCATTACCATCGCCAAGTACCAGTTCGCCAGGACAAACTCAAACAGCCACGATCCCTTCAGAGTAAGTCCGAAAGCCTCGACCGTCACCAGCAACCCAATGAATATCTCAAATGACCTCTCCATCCGCGATTAGATTAGCATCGCCTGCGTCTAGCGTCACCGTTGTCACACTGGCTAGCTCGAGTCAGAGCTCAGGGACCGGGGATCAAGCTCAAGGACCACCAAAAGAGGATTCGATGACCTCCAGTGGTTTTGGGTACGCTGAAGTTACCTGTGTGACATTCTGTGGTTTGACGGGGTTCACAGGCTGGCTGATGACAATGGCGGCTCATTCCCAACGACGCCAGCACCAACTACTCCAGACGACGCCCATTCCAGCGCTTCTTCTCATGTCAACCCCCCTGAGATGCAACACCAGTCGAATATTGCAGTGATTATTGGCGCTTCACTTGGTGCCCTAGCCTTGGTTATCCTTAGCTTTGTCATGATTCTACGCTACCGTCGTCGAAAGCAAGGAGGAAACTGGCGGATTAAAAGAGCCGACAAGCTCCATGGTGAAGACATGATCGAGAGGCGGGGAGGGAATCAGCTTGAGAAAAAGGCAATCGTGAACAACAGGGACTCTGCGTTCGAACCGCTGTCGAGTACCACACCTGCACCCCTGATTGCGAGTTGCGGTGATGATGATGTTACCTCAGCGCTATTCAGCGCGTCGCACTCGAGGAGAGACTCTAAATCAACACTGGATCATACGATATATACCCTTGCCGAAACCGAAAGTGGAACAGAAGCTA